AAAAAAAAACCCTTTTACTTGTGAGACAGTATAGTAATAATTGATATATCATGATAAGAAGTATGTATTTAGAAGAGCAGAATGACAGGCATTCCAAGTGTGACCCTTCTATTACACATTGCTATCTTCAGTGCAGTTGCTTGGTTCACAGGTATCAGCATATATAGTCAGGTTTAGAATCCTACCAATTAGCTGCTAGTTTCAAAAACCTGCTGATGTTTCTCAGAATCATTGCCTTGCCCATCTTGTGCATACAAATGTATGGCTTTGTCCCTATCCTATTTCCCAGCTTTTCTCCTTACCCTCTCCTCATTGACCAGGCCTCAAGTTCTCACTTTCCTTTTAGTTGTGTTATAACTCTATTTGTATTTCTTCTTTTGATTTCTTATACTAGGGAGACTATACAATATTTACACTCGTGGGTCTGGTTTATTTCACTTATGAATATATCTTCAAGTGGCATCTGCTTAAATATAAATGCTTCAAGTTATCATTCTTTATAACTGAGTAATACTCCATTGTATAAAAATACCACATCTTTTTTAACTGTTCCTCATGAGATGGGCATCTTGGTTGTTTCCAAGATTTGGGTAGTATAAATTGTGCTGCTATAAACATAAGTACAAATATATCACTATGATATGATGTTTTCAGTTCCTCTGGGAAAGTTCCCAGTAGGGGGATAGCTGGCTTCAATGGGATTTCCAGTCCTAGTTTCTTAAGGAGTCTCCACACTGCTTTCCATAATGGTTGCAGCAGTCTACATTCCCACCAGCAGTGGAGAAGGGTTCCCTTTTCCCTACAACCTCTCCAACATTTGTTGTTGGTTGATTTGTTTATGATAGCCATTCTTCCTTGGGTGAGATGGTGTCTCAGTGTTGCTTTAATTTGCATTTCATGGATGGCTAGTGATGTGGAGCATTTTTTCTTATATTTATTTGCTTCTTAATTTCATCCTCTGAGAAGTGTGTGTTCATCTGGGATGCCCATTTCTGGATTGAGTCTTTAAATTTAGGGGCCCTAATGTATTTTATTTCTTTATAAATTCTAGAGAGCAGACCTTTGTCTGAGTGCTTATTACTTAAGATTTTTTTGAAATTTGTGGTTTGTCTTTTACTTTGTTGGTAATTTTTGACGCGCAAAAACTTCTCAATAAGAGTTGGTCTCATTTGTCAATTCTTTCAAGTGTTACCAGTGCGATTTGATTTTTGTTCTTGAACTCTTTGCCTACCCCTATGTCTTCAAGAGTTCCTCCTCCTTTCTCTTCCAGATTTACTGTTTCTGTTTTAATATTTAGATCATTAATCCATTTT